GCTATAACTCTGGATAGAAGACCTGCGGGGATTTATCCTTTTGGGGTTTTTCATACCTCACTGGGGTCTACCTTATGCACAGAGTCCGAACTCAAAAGCGACGGGGCAGTTGGTGGCCTTCCCTCGTTTGACAGAAAAGAGAACATTTGAATACAAAGAGAAACCGTCTTCGAATTAGTCGGATGCTTTATCTAGTAGATCATCGTTCTAAGTAGAAGATTTTACGGCTCTTGTATGTTTCTGAGACAGATGTTTGAGATTTGAATAAGAGCGAATCTATAACGATAAAAATAATGTAAATAAAGTAGTTCGATTAGTCATTAAGAGTACCAGAAATCCCCTATGTCGCACATATCTTGACTATTTTCATAATAACATCGTCCATATGTTCCATGACAACGTTTATAAGTCTGCGGACAATATGCGAATTCATTGAGAAATGACGGGTAACACGGGTATTCTGAGAATGGATCATGACAGTATCCATTACAAGGTACGAGACCTTGTGCACATACAAGATATGTGTCCATTTCCTCGTTATGATGACATGTTTCATTTTTCTGACGATCAAAACAGAGTTGATTTCCACATGGCTCACTACCCAGCGGACAAATCATACCAGTATCATTAAAACAGATTGAAGTTAATGGTGAATAACATTTGTTTGTTCCAACACAGAGAACGTTTGTTGAGTCTCGACATTTGACTGTACTATTGTCTATACAAATTTGTCCATATCTAGAAGAATAACACTGATTTCCACATGGTTGCTGTCCATTTCGACATGTAAGAGTTTTATTAAAACAAACACATCCTTCATCATTGTACGGTCTAGTATAACACTGTCTTTCATCACATTCACGATCAGGAGTAAATCGACATGTAGCTCCATTTCCATAAACGGCACTGTTACAAATTTCATCAGAATCAGGATGAATGCAAAGATATGAAGAATAGTAAGATTTTGTTTTTTTATCAGGAATTGCTTGATAGCCTAACGGGCAAACTGTTGTCAGATTAGAACATGTTTCAAATAGAGGATAGTAACAATCGTGCTGTCCACATGGTTGTTGACCTACTAAACATAAATGACTGTCATTAAAACAGAGTTTTTCAGTAGGATCATAACACTGGTAGGACTCAAGACCACAAGCCATTTGATCCATTTTACATAGTGTACGATTATTGTGACAGGACAATTTTTTCGGATCGTAGCATTGATTATGACATAGTTTCATTTCATCTGTTGTGCATTTTATTTTATTATTCACACAAGTTTGATTTTGGTCCGGTCGAAAACATTTTTTATCACACAGAATTTGTCCATATAGACAGATATACTTGTTTGCGAAACATAGTTTAGTTGGGCCATATTTATCGATAGTAAAGTTGGTTTCCCCGCATAATTGAGTTTTCTCCGTTAGTAAACACTGTTCACTGGTTGCCAGAGGATGCCAGCACGGATATTTTACACCTTCACATGGTACGTATTCTATTGGACAGACAGTTGTATTATTAAAACAAATCTCACTAGACGGTATATATGGTCTATATTCATTACACATTAACGAGTTCAAAGGGACTAAAGTCTTATTTTTCCAACATTCATCATATTCCGGATTGTAACATTCTGAACCACATAATTCGAAATTAGCTTTGCAAATGATATTATCATTGAAACATTTTTGTAATTGTGGATGATAACAACGATTTGTTCCACACATTTTCATTTCTTTATTTGAACATTCAATTTTGTCGTCGATACATTGTTCAAATACCGATGGTAAAAAGCATTTTTCACCACATATAATTTGTCCATATTCACATATAATAGATTTATTTAAACATACACTTCTGCGTCATAATCTATAACAATATTTATTTCCACATGCTTTATGCCCGGGTGGACATAGAACTGAATTATTAATGCATACTTGTAATTTTGGATCATAACATTCAACTCCACATAATTTTAATTTCCATTGACAGTTAGGTTTATTCAATATGGTGTTATTGACACATGTGTAATTAGTTGGATTAAAACATTGTGTTCTTCCACATAGATGATGACCCAATTTACAAACAGTATAATTATATACATGTTTAAAACATGTTTCTGTTTGTGGATTGAAATACTGAGTAGAACCACACGGTAATAGCTCATCAGGAATTATTGGTCTTCTTAATAAACGGCGTATGAGATTTGAAAATATATGAGTATCGAGTGATATACATGGTGGAGTTTGTTGGTCTCTGTTATAGATAATCGAATTATTGAGACAAATTTGACATTTTGAAGTGTAACATCGTGTTCCACATGGTTCACTACCTAATGGACAAATAATGTTTGAAGGAGAAAAACAAGATTCAATATGAGGATTAAAACAATTGGGTCCGCATGACTCTTCGTACGACAGACAGTTTGTCCCATCATGCTCACTTGAGTTTAAATATGAACATGCTGATAAAATGATGATGAATAGAAAATACGCCGCCATTAAGCCGTTTTTTGCTAATACTCGAGATATATTATATGTCTATAAAATAATGTGTCATGAAATGGTAAAGCATGTCTTTTAAGAGTAATCAGACGTCTATGAAAAAATACGTAGGCAGCTTAACTGAGTTATACACATATAAAAGGGAAAAAACTTCGTTATATTTGCTTATTGATCTGCAACCGATTTTATTCCATTTTCCCAGTATATACAGAAGAAAGAAAGAAATAATAAAATGCAACGCAAAACGTTAAGCGGACTTTGTCATCACGTCACAATAACGTAAAACATAATAACGAGTGGCTATTCTCCGCTTAGGAAAATAATGAGTCATGTGAAGGAGATACTGTGTTAGCTGTAGGACAAAAACGATTAAAAGCCTGTAGATTTATCGTTTACGAGAAGACAAGGTTTGCGGACACATTTTCACAGCCACAAAAATTTCAAGTTTTCATCACCATCGCTTGAGTAGATCCTTTGAGATATTATTTTGAAGATCTGTTCATGGATTGAGACACGTTTTTAAATCAACAGTCAGTTGTATTTTTATGAAGAGGAAAAAGAAACCAAAGGGAAATTAAATATGTTTTATCTGTGTTATTAACTACTGACGAGAGTTACGTTACAAAAACCATATTTGATTTCCACTGGTTTATGAAGTAGTATTTACTTATAGCAAATAAATAATACGGCATTTTTTACATATCGATAAGAGTTAAGTGTGAGAGTAGAAAAGACAGAGAATCCGTACATAATTTCCGTCGTCTAAAGGACGAGTAGCGATTTCTTACGGAAATCGGCCTATTTAAATTTTTATGATTTATTCGTACAGAATCAAAGAAGGCAGTCCTGGAAACTATACCTAACTTTTTTTTTTGCTTTGTAGGTTCAGCACTTGCTCAAAGTTAACATTTCTGGAACTTGTGCAGGAGATGCCGATTCCTAAATTTTGCCCCTCGTACTTGACGCAGTTCAAACTATCTATACATCATTCGATGGGGCGTTAAAGGTACTGCAAGGATATATAAAATGTTGTTATTCAAATATGTTTGGAAATCATTCTTCTATAAAATATTTTTCAAGTACATAAAAGTGTTTTGTGTTCTGCGCTACTCTGCACCGTATCATCTTAAGTTTCCTCACTACAAACCACATACCACTCAACAGCATTTCTTCTAATCTGCAAGAGTATATATAATTTATTGGGAAAAAAGTATGCGAACATGGTGGGTGTGGCGAGCCTCTGTTCTCATGTGCCGAAAATCTTCCAGTCTCGACTAGTATTTGACGGATTTAAATTTTGTTTTCAGGAACGCCTCTAACGTTTTATATATGGATGGATAGATAACTTTTTACTCTATCCGATGATGTATAATTCGATACTAAACTTGAGGAAATTTGGAAACTATTTCTAGAAAACTGGCAGATAATCATAATCGTGTTTTTCGCAAGTTTTAGGGAAATATTTCAAATAAAAATGAAAAATCTATTTTGTTTAACCAAATACAAACATTTGAACTATCTACATGAGTACTACAATGAATAATGAATGCTGTCGTCGTCATTACTACTGTCGGAGGAGTCTGATACATGAATACTGCCCTGTGCTGTTGAAATAAATGTTCCAGATGGTTTCGAATGTTCATGGACTTGGAATCGCTTGTACCCTAAGAAGCAAATAACAGAACAGACAAATTATTTTCTTGGATCATTCGTTGAACGTTCTTTTTATCCAGTAATGCTAACATTGATGCTGTTAATTGTTTTTCATCGTGGTTCGATTTAAGTAATGGTGTATACACACGATTGATTATTGCACAGGTTATATTCAAATAATCTTTTAGGTGAAGGAGATGTGTGTTCGAAATTGTCTGATTAAAAGATTTAAAATTTTTCAGGCGACACACTCTCAACAATCCACCTGATCTTGGTAACAAATCGTAATTTAGTAGCTTCACTTGTTTCGAGTTGCTTTTGACTATGAAGAAATGATAACATTACAACATCTAAGCTAAGGGCCTCTATCACATCAACACAATCGCGAAAGCCCCTATCAAGCATCAATATATCTTTCTAAAAGCGACGAAGAAAATCCTCTAATCGGCTGGTTCAGGAAGGAGAAACAACTGCTTTACCTCATCTACCCATTTCAAGACATCTTCCAAATTGGTTAAAGGACATGCTTCAGGATAACTCGCGCCAATTTTTGAATAATCTGATAAAAAAGCACCGAGAATGCGGACGATTAACCTGTGGTGGAAACAATCATCATCGGCTTCAACAATGAACGATATTTGTGTAAGGCAAAGGATCTACGTTGGAACTGATTGTTTGGAGATTTCACAAGCACAAGGTGTATTTTAAAAGAAAAAAGTCTGCAAATTATACCTGGATGTAAAGCTAAGTTCCATCTGCAAGAAGGAACATCGTCTCCTTCCGTCAATAATTCTTTTGATATTGTTGTGATATATTGTTGTATTAATTTTTCCACACTGATGTGTTTAAAGCCGAGAATAGCCGGTACAATTTCCGCATTCAATGCTTTGCTTGCACTTGCTGTAGCACGAGAAACTGTCATTTCAGTCTTTAACTGGAATAATGTTGCCTACCCAAGATTAGAAAGACCAAGACGAAGTTTACACAGTAACAGAGGCACAGCAGTTCGAATTGTACGTTTCGATGACTCACGAATGATAGCCGAGTTAGAAATAGATAGTATCTGTTGATTGAATTGTTGTTGATTTAGACCGGTTAGATTATAATACACCGTATCAGACAAAGCTGATGGATCATCAAAATCAAAACGTTTCTAGGATTGTAAAGCCGAACGATACTTCGAAAACCACAAATTTATATCATCTGCTGTGAAAACAGTTCGTTCAGTTTTATAGATTGTTATTTGTTCAATGGCTTCAGAAGTGAGACGGTCGTTCTCGACATGATCACTGCAGCATCTTGGCTCTTTTGGTATAACAAGATCAGTTTTCACAAATATTATATCACGATCATGTTCAGAAATGACAGTCGTTCACTTGCGATGGGTCCGCCGACATACAGAGCGCTCACTAGACACTACTGTTGTACACTTGGTCCTACACTAGAAACATCCATCGCAACTTGGTTTGGAAGCACAGAATTAAACAACCCATAATTGGCGGACTGCGAGGACAGCATATGCTCCCTCCCTAGAATAAAGGTGGACAGTGTAGATAGTGGTGTAGAAAAATGGTTAAATGAAAATGAATGCAAGCCAGTTCATGATATTTTTTCAAGAAAACAACAACAATGTGTAGAATCTTAGTTCAGCCAGTATTGGTAGCTTTTGGAATCTTACAGCTTTACTGAAGTTGATGTTTGCAGAAGAGAATTGTGTCTCCCGCGTGGTCTAGTGGTTAGGATTTGACGCTCTCACCGTCAAGGCCCGGGTTCGATCCCCGGCACGGGAACATATTTTTGTATTCTTTTTCCT